GGTATAGCAACATAGTATTTATACGGACCCAGGGTAGCTACAATTCTGTTCCCAGGTATGGCGCGCATGAGGCTTCAAAGCTGTGGTTTTCAAGCTACATTCAAGGTGGCCTGAGACGAGGGTTTGCTGCCCTAAAACACTCTGTTCAGGCCACCTGGTAGATAAAGGTGTAGTTCCTATTGAAGGGTATATGTCACATTCAAGCAGCAGAAGGACAACATGCATCCTCTGCTCTCGCTTCGCAGACCGTCATTTTGAAGGTGGCCTGAACAGAGTGTTTTAGGGCAGCAAACCCTGGTCTCAGGCCACCTTGAATTTAGCTTGAAAACCACACCTGGGAACAGAATTGTAGCTACCCTGGGTCCGTATAAATACTATGTTGCTATACCTCTTACACACCTATACAAGTTCAAAGCACGAATGAGACTTCAAAGCTGTGGATTGCTGTGCGTGTGTAGAGGTTCTCGAGCGGTTGACGGAAAGGGAACTTGAAGTACTATACCTGGTAGCTGCACTGTAGCTACCCTGTGTCTCTATAGGACCGCATAGTGGTCCCAAAGTGGAAGCCGCCGTAAGCCACCACGAGTCATCACAACCACAACGCCACCTTGAATTTAGCTTGAAAAACTGTTTCTTTGAACAAAAGGGTTACCTATGTGTCGGCAGAACAAGACATGAAGCAGATTTGACACGCGGCCGCAAGCGGCTGCGCGAGCTCATTTGATTGCTTCGACGCACACTTGTCGAGAAAGGGAAGCGCTGGCTTTCGTTTTGCAGCTTCTCAGGTAGTTACCGAATAGAACTTTGACCGTGGCAATCGAGTTTGCTGGGCAAATGTACTAGCTTCTTTTTTGCGCAGCAAACGGCTGGATTCTTTTTACATGGCAGTATGCAATGCGTTATTCAAGAAGCTTGGCACCAATGTACCGCGGCAATGCTGTGCCGTTCGAGGCTCACAGGTTGTGGTGTTGCAGGGGTCAGATTCTCAGAACATGTTCGCGAGACGCACAAAAACATGCCTGGAAGAATCGCAAACGAGATGGGTTTGACACCGACCGCGCTGGACGTGGCGTTGTTTTTTTGTGGAAGTCACTGCCAAGCAAAAGTTATAACTTATAACTACTGTAGGATTTCTGTTGTGGGGTCTTCGGTTTCTGTCGGCTCAAGAAAGAATCTAGCAAGATGGATGAAGATGTCCCGGAGGGGTCCTTAGACCTCGGAGACTTTGGAGATGATGGGGCCTTGGATCTTGGAAATGGAGATGACGTTCCCATTGCTGTGGATGTCGACGAAAAGGGGCCAACCAGGTTCCAAATGATCGAGTATATGAACCAGCGTGAGTGGTGCTGGCCTTACTGCTGGCAAACTGACGTTTTTGAGCCAATTTGCACTTACTACTTGTAGTGTGGGTAAAGACTTTAAGGAACCTAAGAGCGATGGCCTCCAACCCCATAGCCACGTAGCTAGAATGCTTGGAGTGCCCGTTGGGTTTCCTTTTTTTGGACCTAAGGTGGCAGCGAAGCCAGCAAACGCTCTCTTTCACGGGAGTCTTGTGGGCGATTTTTGCCTACTTGGCTGTCGTACGGTCAGGTGTGACTAGACAGTATGAAGTCCAAGAAGCCTTGGTGAACTACGTGGAATCCATCATTTCTCATCCGGGTGTCTCTGGACTTCGGCTTCGGACACCTGGCGAGACTGGGATGTCGGGACCTGAGACCGTGAAACGATTCGAAAGGACGTTAGAAACGTTAGAAAGCTTGTTTCTACTAGCAAACATTGTTACTACTAGTAAGGCACCTGTTACTACTAGCGTGGCACTTGGTGTTAGAAAGCTTTACGAAGCTTCAAAGACCTGAAATGCTGTTACGATTCCTACAATCGAACGACATGGCAAAACGAAAGGGAGAAACGGCGCAACTCGGTGCGAAAGAAACGAGCCTAGGCCATGTCGCTGTGGTTGTCGTCACATTGGGGGACTGCCCGAAAGTTCGTGTAGTGACGATGGGCAGACCGAGAGCTTTCAATTTTTAGGGCGATTGCCCGGTGGGACGGCTGAAAGCCTCGTTGCTGCAACAGGTGGTTTCTACCCTCCAGGTTCCCAAGACATGGAGGCAATGACCTGGAATCGAATTCGTTCTGGCGAGGATGTCATGGTTTGGCTGGAGCATGGTTTCTTGCCAAACGTTTGGGGCACCGTTGCTGGGAAAGTGATCCGAAGACCAGGTTTAATTCTCAACCGGAATCTGGTGGTCGGTGGAGTGCGTGGCCGCCAACGGCGTGCCAACTTGGGCTCCTGCAATTTGCTTGATGCTTTGGAGGCATGGTACACCATAGAATGTAGACAGCCTCATGGCTTAGCTTCAGAAGACTTTGGCCCATTGACCAGTGTCAATCTCAGTGTCATCGATGAAATGCCTATGGCCGCGCAGTATGCCTATGCATCCAGAGACGGCTTTTATGATGCGCATTTTGATGTTGAGAGGCCACTGAGAGATGCGCTGGAAACTGCCACTTATTTGCGTCGCAACAACTGGCTAACTTCCGCTACAACATCCTTGGAGCTAGAAGCTCTTATGCTAAATGGGGAGAGTGGGAACTTTGCAATTTTGAGCATTACCTTTGAATGGCTTTACGATGGGGCTGTGACAAAACGCGTTAGAAGTCATGTCTTCAGGGCCGTGCCAGGGATGCTTTCTGTGATGGACTATTTGCCTGAGATTTGCTGGTTGGGCCTCATTTTAGTGCTCTTAAACCAAGAGCTCTGGGAAGTTCTCAGAATGACTATGAAGCGAGAGCTTCGATCCTTGGCTTCTTTTCGGCAGCAACACTCACTCCCGGAACTGCAGCGTCACGTTTGGTTCTTTAGCTCACACTTCGATTTCTGGTGTCCTTTCAGACTCCGACCCAAGGGGAAACCACAAATACATTTTGGATTAAAGTTGCATCATGCATTTTGCACTAACATTCATTCCAGCAGGGAAACCTGTCCAAAATCCATGTTGGGGTCGCCTGAAGTCCTTCGCTGGACAATATCACTCGCTCCTCAGGTCTCATTCTTGTTGGTGACCTGTGTGCTTATACAAACCATATCAACATAGTTAATGTGATGTTAGGTTGGAGGCCATCGCTATTAGGTTGGAGGCCATCTCTAGTAGGTTGGAGGCCATTGCTAGTAGGTTGGAGGCCATCGCTATCAGGTTGGAGGCCATCTCCAGTAGGTTGGATGCCATCGCTATTAGGTTGGAGGCCATCTCTAGTAGGTTGGAGGGCATCTCTAGTAGGTTGGAGGCCATCTCTAGTAGGTTGGAGGCCATCTCTAGTAGGTTGGAGGCCATTTTTAGTAGGTTGGAGGCCACCCCTATTAGGTTGGAGGCCATCTC